TTATACTTTAAAATATCTATAAAAAAAAATATTCGCATATTTCATTCAAACATTGTAATTAAATATAGATACTATCAAAAGGGCAATTGTTGTTTTTTGTTCAACACCCAAGAAGTTACTACATTAACCTATACACGTATAGAAAAAACTTTTACTGACCTCTCAATTTTATTTTACAAAATAAAATGTTTATAAAATACATAGAATAATAACAGAATCTCATGTCTGTTCTTATAAGTACTCTATTATAAACTGTTTATTCGTATAGATTTCTGTTTTGATGTACTTTATGCAATTTCACTATTTTAGTGTTTTATATACCATTAAATAGAAAACGATAGATAAAGTTTGAAAGTATCCTATAAAATATATATTATGTACTTACCCTAGGGTTTGGTACTTTACGCGAAAACGTTCACTCCGATTACAATCTTTATTTCCTTTCAAGACAGAAAACGCTTAAACAACCCAAGAATAGAAACTGCTTTTAATGGGGTGCAATGCACACAGACAGACAGTTGTATCAAAGTTATCCTATATGGTTCATAATGAACATAAGTAATACATTTGCACCTTAGGTGCTCCGTATAAATTATTATTATTATAAGCACTTAGTGGTGTAAATTATAATATTATTAATTAATTGTACAGAACTAACATAAACATTGTAAGCAGTTTTAAAAAGCTAACGATTATTGCTATTGTTTATTGTAACAATACAAATATTTAATTCCGTGCACTCTAAACAATCATTCGAATTAATATTTAATTATAGTACACGATGCACGTGTTATAGTTTATTTAGGAGTAAACTAGTTTATTCGCGGTGTGATGTGAAGAAATAAATATTTAAAAAAAAACATTTCAAAATCATAAAATATGCTTGAAACCTATTTTTGTAATGGACATACAATTATTTTATAACAGCTATATAACATTTTACGTTTATATTTTATTTTTTAAACAATAAAATTAGATTTGGCCTGTCAAGTGTATACAATATACTTGTTCTAATACTTAGTGACGTGACTTCAAATAGTCAGCTTTTACAACAATAGAAACTAAAAAACTATGTCATTTAATTACGAAGTTGCCACAATAGGGCGATAAAAAGGTTACTACGGGTTTTTAAACCCGATAGTCCGACGTTACTGGAAAGCTTCTTAAAATAATAACTGTTATTTGAAAATTATTAATTTTGCTATGAAACACTCTATATTCTAATTTTTTCTTGTTAGTATAATTTTGATTGTTTATTTTTATGCTGTAATAATGTATGTTCTCTTTTCTATCTTGTAATTTAATTTATCACTATAATTCATTTAATTACTGTACTTGAGCCTTTGGCGTAAACTCAATAAATAAATAAGTAAATAAAAATAAATTAGAGGCGGTTCTCACCAGTTTAGCTGAAGTATAGTTTAACAATACTAATTATACAACAGGCTGAGCTGTACTTATAAATGTGAACCCAAAATGACGAGAGCCGAAATTGTCATTGTACATGTTACTTTGAAAGTATCATATAAAATCGTTATTAAACGTTTTAATTTCATTCCATAGATAGTGTTTGAAGACTTTTTAATTTTTGACATTTCATACTTTTTACATATATATAAATCTTTTAATAAAAAACAAATTCGTCAATAGATTATCATATAGTAATAATTGAAGGGGTCAGTGGATAAAGGTGTTAACTGACGTTTTTGAAATGTCAGGAACGTTCAGGAACGCCACTTTTGTAACTAAATATTATACAAAAGCTATGAAACTTTTTTATATTCAATAGATGAAATAACTTATAAGAGGAAAAATATCGGTCTAGAGATCCTCTATACTATACTATAACACTATAATCCTCTTTTTCATGCAATAAAATGCATTTTCGAAAAAAATGTTAGTTAACACCTGTATCCACTGGCCCCTTCAATTATGATTCGTGTGCTTATGTCAATCGTGTGTCAAACTTTTACTACTTTAAACGCAGTTAAATTATTTGGATAACGAGAAAACTGTTTGTATCAATAATTGTTCTATTTGATAAAAACAAACGATAACACCGATTGTAAGACAAACTCAGTATAATTTGTATTTTGGTTTCTTTTTGCTAATGAACCCCAGCAATACCTCGCTCGGCTGATTTAAAACATATTTTTATAATTATTGCTGTTATCGCGACCAAAGCAGACAGTGTTTGGTTATTTGACTCCGGTATTCGATCGTTCCGTCGGATATGAGTGTAATATATATTTATACACATATACAGACAGTGTAATCATCATAATATGTATAGCATACCGTGTCTGCATAGCCACACCCGACGACCCCGAACGGCGGTTGTCGAGTATGTGTTTACCCTTCGACCGTACATACGGAAGAAGATGACTAATATTTCTCCCTTTCCGAGACTGTGCATCTCCGGCACACTAACATATACGACCGTCTCTCCTCTTAGTGGGTGGCCTATTAACGTTATTATTATTATTATTATATTATATTAGAATATTCAACCCTTTTTCGTCTCATTTGCATCCACGGTGCGGCTCACCGTCGTCGACCGTCTAGCCAAGCACTCATATACATCACTCGCGGCCGCTATTTGTACGGAATTAATCACACAACAACAATTTCTACACAAACCCACACGAGTGCCAGTGGTCTGTATGGCCGGCCAGTAAAGGTGAAACATTAGTATTCCTAAACGACTTGCGTATAAATCAAAATCGTACAACAAACGGTAACCCGACCATCGTCAACAGCAATATTATATTGTGAACGACACCCGGTATTATATTATAGTGTCATATTGTTTAATAATAAAATATACATATGATTATATAAGCCCGTGTGTATTGAATATGATTAAAATCGAAAATCGTGTGCGGGATCTGTCTCAATATCTAGTGTGTGTGAGTTAACTGTTTTTGGAAGACATAAAACAATATTTTAAAAAAACGAGCGTTCTTCACGTCATACGGTCGAGCAGGCGGTATATCGTCTGAAAGTACTTGTACTTAACCGCATGTGCTTGTACGCTGGTAAAAAAACGGATTTCGATATCCAAGTGTTTCTATTATAGTAACAACTGTATGGGAATAATGAGTACTTAACGTTACAGGCACATTATTTAAATACTTAACGTATACTGTACTATATTTGTTGTGGACGAAAGTAAAATTTGAAAGATTACTTTTCTCTTTAAAAATTAAATCCATACTAATATATCGGTTCAAACCATTTTTTCTCCAAACATTAATTAATTTTAATAATTACATCAGAGGGTTTTTTACCTACACTTTAGGTCTTTAGACCTTTTTTTTTCCTTTTAATTATACTTATTATATTAGGCCATAGCCATATTTTTGACGAGACAATAATAAAATAGAATTTTAGCTTCGATGCAAAGCGAGAAGGTATTGGTTTTACTCTGATGTGGGCTTTTTTTTTCGCTGTATACACTGTAACTTTTTTAATACTAGACCAATTCCTTTGAATAGCAACTCTATAAATCACAAATTTTGTCTAGTTTGTACTTTGGGGGGGTAAAAGTTGAAAAAGTTTAAGTCTTCACAGACGAAAGTTGAAAAAAACCAGTACAGTGGGGTCGGGGCATAGTGGGGACGGAGCATAGTGGGGACGGGGAGGTCACAGGTTTATAGGAATTTTTAAATCTGAAAGTGATAAAATCACTTTCGAAAAAACGCTTCGATGCAAATCGGTAGTTAGTATTTTCAAGGCAGTACAATCTAAACCAAGCACAGTGTAAGCTAGCAAAGTTAGAAAGTATTAAATTGAATCGGCCATTTCAAAAACGACTTAGGTCACCGATTTTTCAAAACTGTCTTTTTATCAAATGTAATAATTATATACTTAGCTACGTATTCTGTGTGAAAACTCAATTTGTCAGACTCATATTTAATACAAATGTTGAGTACAAGAAATTTTAATCACTGCAAAATATATTTATGAAGTTTCTTGTGGCTAGTGTAATATTTCAAATTTGTGACTTGTGTCGTTTTTTAAATGACCGATAAAATTACAAAATAGAAGCATCAAAGCGTTTATTTGAAAGTGATTTTATTTAATTTTATCACTTTTATTTGTAATAATTTCTGTAGACCTGTGACCACTCCGTCGCCTCGTTGCTTTGATTCCATTATGCATAGGCATAATGGAAAATATATTAGAATAAAGATTCTACTGTACTAGGCCTCTTGGATAAAATATGTTAATAAAATATATACGTTACCATTTAAGTTTCAAAAGTTGCTATCAAAAAAAATAAGTTGGGAGAGGGGTAAAAACAAAAAAAAATGTGAAAAATTGAGATCACATTGTAAAAAAACAATATGAAAAAAAATATATTGTAATTTCTTATTAAACCCTATGAGATATGAGATATTGAGTGGCTCGTTATAAAAAAATCACCCTGTATTTTAATAATAATTAAAAGTCATGAATGATAATTCTTTATTTTATGACTGGATCAAATCTCGTGAACATTTTACTTTATGATACTGCTCCTATACTATTATTAAAAAAACACAATTTTTAAAATCTCCATAAAAGGTTTTCAACCCACATAAATACAAAGAACACAGCTAATAATGATGAATTTTGCTTTTGTGATTTTTTTTTTTTTAACTCCTTACTATTAAAAATACTATATAATTATATAGTAGCTATAGTTGCTCTTAAATGTGAGTTTCGGACCCTTAATAAACACATAACTGCGAAATAAAAATAACATTATTAAGATACATTTTTTATATGCATATTAATTGCATATTTTGGTCAACAAATATCTGATTTACTATCTGTCGAATGGCGAGTTAATGGAAAACAGAACCTGATCAATAAACGAAGAAGAGTAGTTCTTGTTAATCACCAGGATTTTATTGATGCACTAGGTGAATATTATATAAGCATATTACTTATTAATTTATGTCAGGCTGCACAAAATTTTGAATATCTTCTATATAAATGACATTAAATTTACATCATGATTCTTCATCCTCCCCTTCTCTTCTCGAAGTTTCATTTTTTTTTTTTAGGCGGTATGCCACGGCACGTATTAGGCGCTTTATTTCTCTACGATTCAATGCACAAATAAGTCCGTATTTTCGTCCGTTCCGCCGGGTTTCCGGATTACATTTCTCGATTTGCTCAACAATAAAATTCAATGTTTGCCCCAGATCGTAAATGTTTGGGACAAACATGTGAACATTTTCTACAGTAATTACATTCCAATCTGCACTCATGGCCGGTTGAGGGGCGGTTCCAGAATCCGTTGCCGTAGTCTTATCCGGTTGAGAAGTCCCGGAATACGTGGCCGTACTCTTAGCCGGTTGAGGGGCGGTCCCAGAATCCGTTGCCGTAGTCTTATCCGGTTGATGGGCGGTCCACGAATGCATTGCCGTACTCATGGCTGGTTGAGGGGCGGTTCCAGAATCCGTTGCCGTAGTCTTATCCGGTTGAGGGGCGGTCCACGAATGCATTGCCGTACTCATGGCTGGTTGAGGGGCGGTCCCGGAATACGTGGCCGTACTCTTAGCCGGTTGAGGGGCGGTCCCAGAATCCGTTGCCATAGTCTTATCCGGTTGAGAAGTCCCGGAATACGTGGCCGTACTCTTAGCCGGTTGAGGGGCGGTTCCAGAATCCGTTGCCGTAGTCTTATCCGGTTGAGAAGTCCCGGAATACGTGGCCGTACTCTTAGCCGGTTGAGGGGCGGTCCTAGAATCCGTTGCCGTAGTCTTATTCGGTTGAGGGGCGGTCCTAGAATGCATTTCCGTACTCATGGCCGGATGAGGGGCGATTCCAGAATCCGTTGCCGTAGTCTTATCCGGTTGAGAAGTCCCGGAATACGTGGCCGTACTCTTAGCCGGTTGAGGGGCGGTCCCAGAATCCGTTGCCGTAGTCTTATCCGGTTGAGGGGCGGTCCACGAATGCATTGCCGTACTCATGGCTGGTTGAGGGGCGGTTCCAGAATCCGTTGCCGTAGTCTTATCCGGTTGAGGGGCGGTCCACGAATGCATTGCCGTACTCATGGCTGGTTGAGGGGCGGTCCCAGAATCCGTTGCCGTAGTCTTATCCGGTTGAGAAGTCCCGGAATACGTGGCCGTACTCTTAGCCGGTTGAGGGGCGGTTCCAGAATCCGTTGCCGTAGTCTTATCCGGTTGAGAAGTCCCGGAATACGTGGCCGTACTCTTAGCCGGTTGAGGGGCGGTCCCAGAATCCGTTGCCGTAGTCTTATCCGGTTGAGAAGTCCCGGAACACGTGGCCGTACTCTTAGCCGGTTGAGGGGCGGTCCCAGAATCCGTTGCCGTAGTCTTATCCGGTTGAGGGGCGGTCCACGAATGCATTGCCGTACTCATGGCTGGTTGAGGGGCGGTTCCAGAATCCGTTGCCGTAGTCTTATCCGGTTGAGGGGCGGTCCACGAATGCATTGCCGTACTCATGGCTGGTTGAGGGGCGGTCCCAGAATCCGTTGCCGTAGTCTTATCCGGTTGAGAAGTCCCGGAATACGTGGCCGTACTCTTAGCCGGTTGAGGGGCGGTTCCAGAATCCGTTGCCGTAGTCTTATCCGGTTGAGAAGTCCCGGAATACGTGGCCGTACTCTTAGCCGGTTGAGGGGCGGTCCCAGAATCCGTTGCCGTAGTCTTATTCGGTTGAGGGGCGGTCCTAGAATGCATTGCCGTACTCATGGCCGGTTGAGGGGCGGTTCCAGAATCCGTTGCCGTAGTCTTATCCGGTTGAGAAGTCCCGGAATACGTGGCCGTACTCTTAGCCGGTTGAGGGGCGGTCCCAGAATCCGTTGCCGTAGTCTTATCCGGTTGAGGGCGGTCCAGAATGCATTGCCGTACTCATGGCCGGTTGAGGGGCGGTTCCAGAATCCGTTGCCGTAGTCTTATCCGGTTGAGGGGCGGTCCACGAATGCATTGCCGTACTCATGGCCGGTTGAGGGGCGGTCCCAGAATCCGTGGCCGTAGTCTTATCCGGTTGAGGGGTGGTCCTAGAATCCGTTGCCGTAGTCTTATCCTGTTGAGGGGCGGTCCCAGAATCCGTTGCCGTAGTCTTATCCGGTTGAGGGTCGGTCCTAGAATGCATTGCCGTTCTCATGGCCGGTTGAGGGGCGGTACCAGAACCCGTTGCCGTAGTCTTATCCGGTTGAGAAGTCCCGGAATACGTGGCCGTACTCTTAGCCGGTTGAGGGGCGGTTCCAGAATCCGTTGCCGTAGTCTTATCCGGTTGAGGGCGGTCCAGAATGCATTGCTGTTCTCACGGCCGGTTGAGGGGCGGTTCCAGAATCCGTTGCCGTAGTCTTATCCGGTTGAGAAGTCCCGGAATACGTGGCCGTACTCATAGCCGGTTGAGGGGCGGTCCCAGAATCCGTTGCCGTAGTCTTATCCGGTTGAGGGTCGGTCCTAGAATGCATTGCCGTTCTCATGGCCGGTTGAGGGGCGGTCCCAGAATCCTTTGCTGTACTCATGGCCGGTTGAGGGGCGGTACCAGAACCCGTTGCCGTAGTCTTAGCCGGTTGAGAAGTCCCGGCATGCGTGGCCGTACTCTTAGCCGGTTGAGGGGCAGGTGCGGAGGTCGATGTTACTGCCGACTGTTTTGGAAAAAAAAACATTATTATGCTTACATTTTTAAGTCTTATTTCTGGCACATAACCGATAAGAGATTAGAGATAAATGATGAGGGATGGGGTAGGGGTGGGGGCGTGAATGGATTTGGGGTTAAGGGTAGGGGTTGGAATGGGAGTGGGGGTAGTATATTACTTTGGCAAATAAATCGAAAAAACTGTCACAAAAACACATAGGTATTACATATTATATGTTAACAGCTTGCGTACTTTTCCGCAACACCACGTGATACATTTTTAATAACCAAACATATTCGTCTGCGAATCGTAAGGGAAGCATTTCATTTTATGATAATGGCCTAACAAATTATATTTTAAAACAAATTATTGACCACATAATAACTCTTTGGAACATATATTTAACTTATCAATTACTTCTGGAATTTTCCCACACGTGTTTTCCATGAAACCAAAACTCAAAACAAATTTATTTTTATTTTCTTAAGTAGTATTAAGTACATTTATAGCATATGGTTAAAAAAAAAAATTATGCAGTGAAGGGTTAAGTTATATAAAAAATATGTCATCTATAAATTACGAGTGTCAACATTTTGAAAATGTATGCTTACACGCTAACTTACTTACTAACTATTACAATCTACTTCTTTTTGTTTTTTATTTGTTCTTATAATATTGGTATATTATACTGTTATTTTTCATTTGTAAATTATCTAAATATTGAAAACAGAAAAATGTATAAATTTAAGACATGAGATATGAACTCTTGTCTCCTCCACAAGCATCAGGCTTTTGGAGACAAACTTTTTCCTTTATTACTCATGTATTGTAAACTATGTATGTTCTGTTTGGAAATAATAAATAAATCATCATCAAATCAAATCAAATCTTAATTGCTAAAAAAAAAATAAAAAAGATAAATAACTGAAATTAACATATATAAAATTATAAATTATTAAATAGACATATAAATAGAAAAAAGTGCCTGCAACACACGTATCTAGCTCTAAAGGTGAGCTTCCAGGCTACTTAGCCAATCTTGGGCCTCACTGTTAGGGGGCATACCTCTGCAACGTGTTTGATGTTTTGTACCTGTCCACATTCGCAGAGTGGTGTATCTACAATTTTCGAATTATTGTAAACGAAATTACAATTTCCCTGTTCTGTTCTGATCCGGTTTTGAGCGGTCCACAACACGAGTTCAAATCCTGGGCCTCTCTGATTCGGATCATTGACGATGAGGCCACGATTAACCACATTTTCGTCTCTCCAAATTTTCTTCCACAAATCCTCCGGATTATCTGTTGTGCTGTCGATAGACCAAATAGTGCGAAAGTCATTTGCCCTACACTACCAGCTTGTTCCGGCTAGCTTACTGATTATATTGCTTCTTGTTTTTATTTTGTTTTTTACTCCTTCTAAATGTTGTTTGAAGGTCAAAGTCCTGTCTAACTTTAATTCCAGGTATTTCGGAGAGCCTTCTCATTGTATATTAACTCCCTGAGCCTCTAAGTTCAGTTTTCGTTAGGTCGAGGAAACCCGCCTCTGATTTTATTTTCTTCTGAAATCCGTTTTCTACATGCGTGACAAAACTTGCTCACAACAACTTTTTCCTGATCTGAAGCCTGCTTGTTCCTTCGGTAGATTCTCTTCGGTTTGTGTTTTGAACTCTTGTTAACAGTACTCTTTCAAACAATTTATATACCACTGATAATAATGACATCGGTTTATAATTCTTTGGGTCATTAGTAACAATCTATATAATATATAAAATTCTCGTGTCACAGTGTTTGTAACAAAACTTCTCCGAAACGGCTAGACCGATTCTTATGCATTTTTGTGTGTATATTCAGTAGATCTGACAATAGGACGTTAACTATTTTTCATACCCCTAAGTGATAAGGGTGGTCCACCCTAATTTTTTTTTATTTAATATGATTATCGATAGTATCAATAGTTATGAAAAATTACACCGTAGATCTATCTACGGTGCCATTTTTCATACCACAGGGATACAGCTGATTGTTTGTCTAATACATGACCTTGTCTAATACATATATACCCGGGAAACGCCGGGTCGGGACAGCTTGCATAATTTGCCACCCTCCATTAATTTCGAATTTTTAAGCGGCATTCGTTTTGAGAAAATCGCAACTTTCAGAGACAGAGACAAATTTTTAATAGATCAAAATTGTATAAAGCCGGTGTCAGATGCTGTTTAATTTGTACTTACCGAATACCATCGGTGGTAATACCACCCGCCTATTGCGCCGGCTCCAAACACCGCCGCTCCTCCAGCCACCATCTTCCAGTTCACATATTTTAACATTGTACTGAAAAATTATAGAATTATACTGACGTCAAATATTAGATAAAAATCAAAATCACACAAAATGATTAATACATAATCAATATTTACCTTAACGACAATTTGATGCCACAGTAACATCATACAAGTTTTTTCAGTCAGAAGTAAAAATTAAAGAGGATATCTTATGAAACTAAAAAAGAACCGTATACATTTAACTAGTTTTTCAAATTAAATATAATCCCATGTACGTCCAAATACGAAAATGAAAAAAGTTTATAGCACACATTAAATCCTTACAGACAAGATAGCTTACCATATGGAAAGAAAACGACGAAGCTACGCAGGGCCGTATTTAGGAGGGGACAACAGGGGGCTGTTGCCCCGGGCGCTGATTATTAGAGGGCGGCTAAATTTTATTATATTGCATTAAATTTGTATTATATTATAATAAGGCGTTTTTTTTGTTGCCCCAGGGTGACAAATTCCTAAATACGGCCCTGAACCTACGACTGTACTTGAATATTGGTTAAACACTATAGATGTAAAAATAAGTGAAAATTATGATTCAAAGGCTGGTTTCACAAAGACAAAATACCAACGACACAATATTACAACTAGAAAATTACCTAGAATCCTACCAACAGTATCAAGATTTATCAAAAACATATCAAGACTCTCAAAAACTAACTTTGGGCTTAATTATCCACGCATACTGGTTAGGCATTAACCAAACATCATTAAAAGAAAATCACAAATTGGTACTTTTTATAACTATAGAGTAAATTGTCTGTTTTTAGATTACTTGCGCAACAAATAGATTTTAGAGATCCGTATGAAAAAAATCGATGCTATACAAAAATCGTTTGATGACAATAAATCAATTTGATTGGAAATGCGCTTAAATTCGTTGAAAGATCTAAGCAAAATATTCCACAGAAGGCTGTGGAAACCACGACAAGAGATCATGTAAATCTCAACGGTATAATAAATTCCAAGTAAGTTGAAACGTTACTGAACAGTGTACATTGCAAATTAAATGCATAATATTGTTGTACAAAATTTGTGTACATATTTAAACAGTTTTACAAATATTGTGTTGTAAAAAAATAGACTAAAGAGCATATTCAATTTTATCACTTTTTTTATAATAATTCCTCTAGACCTGTGACCTCTCCGTCCCCTCGTTGCTTTGATTCCATTATACCTATACTCTACTGTACTAGTCCTCTTGTATAAAATCACTTTCAAATAAACGCTTTGATGCTTATTTGTAAATACAGAACGTCAATTTAATACTTTCTAACTTTGCTGGTTTATACTGTGCTTGGTTTGGACTGTACTGGCTTGAAAATACTAACTATCGATTTGCATCGAAGCGTTTTTTCGAAAGTGATTTTATCACTTTCAGATTTAAAAATTCCTGTAAACCTGTGACCTCCCCGTCTCTACTATTCCCCGACCCCACTGTACTGTTTTTTTTAAACAGCGTATTTACCTACATATATGATAATCGTTATATCTCGTTATATCATAATTCAAATTGTGCAGTACATTTTAGACCAGAACAGTCCGGCAATCTGTTTTATAGTAGGTAGTTGAGCAATTATTAAATCATCAAGCCTTAAGTACATTTTCAACTATGAATTTTATTTATACATTATTTTTTAAGTCAATGATAATCATAATAAGATGGTTTGTGTTCATACTATAACATAAGTGTAACAGCTACGTAAGTCGCATTGAAGTGCACGAGGAAACCATTTCCCCTTCATATGGCATAAGTCAAAACT